GGAGGAGGAGGAAGGAATGCAGAATAAAACGAACCGACAAGCGCAAGTGGAGTTGAGAGGAAGCGAGTAGGTTTTGACTGTGTGTGTGCGTATGCGCACGTAGTTTGGGGTGGGCGGTGATTGTTGTCGCGACCTGCTGCATTGCAGATCGACGCTGGTGGTTTGGAGGACGTGGAGGAGGAGGGGATGGAGGAGGAGGAGGAGGAGAAGTGAGAATGTGGTTTTTTTATCGTCGTGTTGCAACCTCACTTCTCATTGGCGTGAGAACATTGCCAACTGGACAGCGATGTTTGAAGCCAATTTGAGGTGTCCAGTTCAGGAAGATCGCGGCGCCTCGATATGAGATTTCTTTGAAGAGGTTTGCAGGTGTTTCTTGTCAGCATTGACCAAGGTATTAACTGGTGCGATGACTTGGCTGCAGCTAAAACATCCTCGTGATGACCAGTCTGAATATTTCTTGGTGAATTGTAATTAAGTAGATACACCAACACTATCTGGATTGTACCGCTGTCGGATCCTGATTCCTAAGAGACGTATGTGTTGGTGTCGTTGTGCTACCAATTTAGACAACAGCTCCTGCCGTTCTTAGCTTCTTTGGCTATGAACGAATGACAAGATTGTAAGGCATCCGTGTTAAATCCTCAACTTTCACCAGCAACCTCACTAGGTTTCGTTCCCCAACGACAACTTCACCACCTTTCCTATGCCCTTAATATGTCAATTCAAGATATCAAAACAGAGACTGTCATTTTGAAGGATGTTTGGTCGGCTGTTGATGGATCTGTAAATGCAGGATGTATTCGCTTGACGACATGTTGCTAAACCCACATATTCCACTGTGGACAGGACATTTCACGTGTGAATTGGAAGCTTGTGCACACACACACACACACACACACACACACACACACACTGAACACGCTCCCACTTCTAAATGACCCGTTCGATTTGGCCCCTTTGTTAAACGTCACTGTTTGATGGCATGAAACACATCGTCCGGCAATTGGTGGTTTCACTGTCTTGGCGATTTTTTTCTGAAATGCACCACAATCATCGTTGTTCTACAAGGATATTTTTCTCGATTTTCGATAAAATGACGCAAGAGGTACAAGGGGTTGAAGAAGGAGTCGGAGCAAGCTTCTTTTGGCAGCTGGTGACTGTTTGGGCTGCGACGACGCAGATGTCGGCATTGGAATACTCAACTTGGACAAACGGCTCAATTGCATGCAGCGGCAACCGGCACAGCACTACTAGTTGATTGGATGGAGCAAGTCGTTGTTTGCTTTGGATGCTGCATCGCTTCATGTGCTGAGGAATAGGTCAGCCAACAGACACTCAACATGGAGGCACTTTGCAGCACATCCAACGAGGAGACGGGTGAGGAGTTAGTTGAATGGTTTGAGGATGTTCGATTGAAGGCATTCAACATGGAGGCACTTTGCAGCACATCCAACGAGGAGACGGGTGTGGTGTCAGTGGAAGGTTTTGTGACTGTTCGATTGAAGTGCTCGTCGAATCACCAGGTGCGATTGTGCGCCTGGATGGAGAGAATCGAGCACAAACACGGTCGACGCCCACCCCAAGTACGAACGCACTTTGATGTGCCTCGTTAAACATCGACTGCATCCTCACAAGAAACGCAATTCAGTGTCGCGTCGGTGAAATGTGAAGAGTGGTCATTTCTGTGTAACTGCTTGTGTGCGTGTGTGTGTGCGCGCGTGTTGTCCGGTGGTAACACTTGCAAGCAATGATGTTGATAGGCAGGATTACGGTTTGTTAGCACTGAAAGTGTCGTTGCGCAAATCTGCCTATTTTGCCTGTTGCGTTGACTCATTACCGCGCTTCAAGGTCAATCAACGTCGATTAGCAGAATCCAGCTTGAAATACCTTTTTCGCATATTTCTTTCAAGTCATGCGTTGTCGCTAATGGCTTGAACACACACAGCCTCGTTTTAAGCCTGTTTCCACAGGCGCATTCTGTGGACACCCCGTCTCATCACCTGTCTGCCCCCATTCATCACTCTGCCATTCACCACTCAGTGCGTCTTCACGTTTGTGGTTAGCGTGTATTTGAGGTTGTCATAACAACGAGCTTTTTCTGTTTGCATTCACTTTGTCTCCATGCCCCGACAACTGGCCAATCAGACGCGACCGTTGTGGTGCATCATTCGAATCAAACTCCAGAGCATGTACACGACAATGTGTTTGCTAAGATTAAGAGGAGCGTAGTTCGAGTGTGTGCTTTCAATTCTTCGCACGCAATCCGTTTTCGCAGTGAGTGAAATTTCCGTTGAAATTCCTTGCAATCAATTGAAGCACGATGCAATCAAGTGATGTCGCCTGTTTGAGCAAATTGATATTGAACTCCAATCACAGCGTCTAATCAACGTGCTGAATGTAACATTTTGCGTAATTTCGCAGTTAAGAGGTGAAGAACTAGACAGGCAGTCTCCGATGCCTTCAACAACATCGAACAGCACAGTCGATTTGCTCCACGTCCGCCTCGAACGTTGATGTATCTTGACAGTGTTGCGAGTGTACAATTGGCCGTGGAAGCTGTGTGAAGTCGTTGCTTCAGCTACCTCCCCAACTGTTTGGATGTTCGGAATGCCTGCAATGCTGAGGTGCTCGCAAGTCTCTTGCCATTTCACCGAACTGAGCGCATTTGCGTAACCAACCACTCATTTTTGTCAAGCCTGAGATTGCAGCAGTTCACGTGCATAATTCACTGCGTCATAATCCCACGCAGCAACTAGGGAACGCAATTCCCAAACACGCTTGCCAAGTACTCCCAAGACGCACTGCGAATTCCAACGTGCTTATTTAAAATGTGCGCGAGATGCCAGCAGCAAAATGTGTCATGCGCTTGAAGTGACTTGTTCGGGTGCGCTGTGCCCTTTTGAAGCATCGACCTTGCCGATGCCACGTGTGGAAATCTCGGTTTGCACTTCCATTCGTTCAGTTTCGTTTTCGGAGCACTGAATTCGGGGAGTGTGTAAATTCACACAAAAACCACGGATTTTTGCGTTTGCTGTGATTTCTGTGAAACAAGTGGAACTCCCACTCACAGCGGAATTCGGATATTCTCGCGAACCACTCGTCTTTTCCGTGGTCAGCAAAGCAGCACTGCAACAGGCGTGATGATCGCTGACAGTTGGACAGGCACAGTTGCCGTTGTGGACGATGAAGTGCAGCCAGCTTCAAAGGAGGGAGGAGATACAGAAGTTTCTATGTTTGGAGACCTGAGCAAGCACCACCCGCGTGATTTTGCACTGGGTTTGAGTGGTAGTTTTAACGACGCTTTGCAGTTGCCAGCGCAAATGCGGTACTGAGGCAACCTAGTGACAAGGCGGCGATGCAAGGGAACATGTCTGCGAATGGCCTTTCACCACTTCAACGATTTCCTCAGCACAAACTGCAAATTTGCTTGCTCAATCCTACCTAGCAGTGGTTTCTGTGCTGGAATCAAACGACGGACAACATCAGAAACAGGTTGAGCACAGACCATTGAAGCAATAATTCTTCTCAATTAAACAGAAGTGCATCCCCACATCACTTTCAACATGAAGACAGTTTTGGTGTGAGAAATGAAGACATCTACCATGACTTTCTCCAAATGTCAATCGTCGATCTCAGTTTGGTGATAGCATCAAGGAAGCCTTGGTGAATGCAACACGTCCACACGTTGGAAGATTCAACTCGCAGCAGTGGTAAATAGCATGTGCGTGGAGAACAATGTAGTCATCGTGGCAGTGACTGTAACGTGTATCTTTAGGGAATCAGACGGAATTTCATCTGTTGAAGAAATTCAGGTGTTCCAAGTTGAGTTGAAAAGCGCTCTTAAGTGAAAATCCCCCACGTGCGGATTAACTGTACACAGACTGCGTAGTCCGAATTTCTGTAATCTAGTTTGTTGGCATCTGACAAGCAAATGTTGATGAAATTTGAGTTGCCATGTTTGTGTTCAAGTATGCAAGTTTGACGGCGTTTTCTTACAGAGGACAAACTGATTGTCCGCTCATTCTGAAACGGTTAATGACACACGCAAATCGGTGTTTGTTTAAATGAACGAGGGTGAGTCGTGAACCAGAGCAGCTCTTCAATCACCACAAACCGCTACAAATATCGCAAGATGACAAATGCTGTGATGGTGGTTTCTTGTAATGTGGCTGCTTTGTCCGAATAAATCTGCACCATTTTTTGCCATAGGTGTTTCCACGGCAAGTTGTTTGTCCGTCTTGAGTTCCCATTGGTTAGTAGAATCGCCGCCCTCATGGCATCGTCAGGTGTATTGAAGATTGGGACACGGTTGCTAACACCTACGTGGACCCATCTGGTGACCGCAGATGCGATGAGCTAGCAGCGGTTCTGTCTACAACCCGTTTGGTTCGTTTAATCTTGCCTTGTCGATTTCGCGTAAAGCCAAATCAACTGACAGGGGTAAACCCTCTAGCCTGGACCGAAGGTGGACACTGCAGTGCATTCGACTTGTAGCTCCGATGGACATCAAATTTGACGAGCAACGTGATTTGTTGGCAAAATGCAACGACACCTCTTCCACATGCAGTCTGCGATGAAATGGCCCATTAACTTGCGAGTGACGACTGACAGGAATGTGGCAATTTAGTAATTGGACAATCATGTATCGCTTGTGGGTTGCCAATTCCCGATTTGATGTGTTTGGATGTTGCATGTCTGTTCAGAAGTCAACAGCTCTCCTTGTAGCAGATAAGCGGCGGCTTTGTCATCGAAAGTTGGTTAGTAGATTAATGGGATAACTAATACAAACTGATATTTCCGCATGTTGTATTTGTAGATGTCTTCAAGACAAGCTGCATGGCTAGGGCTGACAAAAGACGCATTTGAAGGCAACACGGGCAGAGCCCAATTTGATAACTGCCTTTGACTTTGAACTGACCAATGGAGGATGTTGCGATCAGAACGTCATTGGTCTGATCTGACGGTTAGACTACACTACCATATAATTAACGTCGTCAAGTTTACCGAGATTAAATAGAGAACGTGTCAATTTGAAAGCAGCACTAATCCATACAAGTTTTATTTTTTTTCGTCTGACTGTCGTCGATTTCACAAGAGACTGCCCCTTATCTCGACAAATGAATGCGCTTGTTAAATAATTCGACATGACCTTGAACTGACCAATGGAGAATGACGTAGCTCAACCGCCTTTAGTCTGATGTGAAGGTTTGTCGAAATCGCTGCGTAAATTGTGTTAGCCAAATCGGTGAGGCCATGAGCCGATTTCAGGCGGCATGCAGCCTTAATTGATGATAATAATCCGTGGATTTGCAGATTATTAGGACGGCACTTTCTTGACAGACTTCTCTAATTTCCCATTGGTTGTAGATTTCGCAAATAGGGAAGTGATTATCCAATGCGGCATCTGGGACTAAACGCAGGACAAAGAAAATTGTTCGCACGTGGGAAACTCGAGGTCCTTGCTTTATCTTTCCATTTATACCCATGTTAATTTGTACAGCAAACCCATTGGGCAGTAAAATGTCGATATCCAATGAAGTTGTCTTCGGGTATCCAATCAAAATCAGGACTGAAGGTCATGTTTTTTAAAGTAACCACACCTCCCTATTTTGAGAAATCCGCCCTGGTGTTGATAACGTATCGATCGAAATTCAAAAATTAATCTGAATTTCTGGCATCCTCTGTCGACCAATCAGAATGGTACTACTGTCATTTCACTCTCGATCCGCCCATTTAACATGCCTAATAAATTAATCGTTTAACCTCACACCGTTGATGAAGGCGCCTGTGCTCACAACAGTGAAGTAAACCATAAAACACAGTTTGCAGATTACCTCGAGGTGAGTCATCGCAAAGTTGACCAATCGGAAGTAAATGTAAATTCCCTTTACAGCTGAGCCGGGTTGCGTGTGCGTGACGAGAGCAAACGCGTTGAAGGCGGTCGTGCCAACTTGAGTCTTGGTGGTTAGAACAGCAGCAATTTTTTCTTTAGGTGCCGTCTAAATCAGGTGGAATCACGTCCATCTTCGCTTTATAAACCAACCGTCGGAAGATGGCACTTTAAATAATAATTCCCATCTTAACTTTGTTAGTGGGTTAGATTAGAAGTTGCCATTAGATGCTTGGTAAGAGATTGTGATGGTTACTTTTTGATTAAATTTAAAAAAAATTGTAGCCATAGGGAGGAAGAGAAATGGCAAGGTTAGGCGCTGCGACAGGTGCCGTCAAATTTTACTTTTGGCGCGTCAACAGGAGTGCGTTTTAACAATGGATGACTCCTGCTTTGCTGCATTCCCGAACACTGCGCAAATGACTTAGAGCACGCTGATTTTTTTTAAAAAAACGATAAGAATCTCGTTTAGGGCTAGGAGACCACACAGATATGCCTATTAAATCAAATTTCAGTTGCGTGATGTTTAGTCCTTGTTCATTTTTCACTTTGATTTATGTAAAGAAGTAAGGAAAACTGAGGTATGTTTAGGTTCAGAACAATTTGGAAAAAAAGCGTTAGTGCAAATTGTTGATTAGCTAGCTTATTTTAATGAAAACTAAAATTTCAACCATCACGCGCATTTGTGTAACTGGTCAAATAAATCTAAGGGCGATTCTGTACGAATTAGTTCATTTCCTGACCAATGAGCAAACGATTCACTTTTTTCATTGTCAGAAACATTAACATGAGTTGTCAAGGTTAAAATGCGATTGGGTTTGTTGTTAGGATTTAGAAGAAAATGTGAACGTTTTTCGATTACGTGATAGCCTCTGTGAACCTGGTTAAATCAAATTTAACAATTAAGCCAAAGTTTTACCGATTTCGACAATGACCTTGTGCTGAAGCCGACCCATTGATGAGGCGAAATTAGCGACACCGAATGCTTCAGGCTTCCAGTAGCTCTGAACGTGCGTTGAGAAGATGAATTGGATGATCTTCAACATGAAGACGCCTTCGAATTTTGTGTGTCCACTCTCGTAGAGTGAGATTCACACTTAGGCGTGGTTCTTACGCTTCCACGCAATGCCTTCGAACCAGCAAGAAGACCAGAGCAGTTGAGAACACGTTTGGTGATTAACGCGCCAAATTCAAAACGTACCGGGTGTACGCGTGTTGGCACGTGCGCGTGTGTGATTGTACTTTGGCCTGAACGCGAGCGCATCGATCGATGACTGACAGCAAGAAAATCGATAGAAACGCGTGGTCGGCTGAGCTGCAGTCACAACAATGCGGCACGCCAAC